GGTGTTAAAATTTTAAAGGCTGATTTTAAAAAAAGTTCTAAAAGTACAGGTTAAACCCAGGAGAAGCTGAGGCAATAAAGGACACCCTTGTCCTGGAGGGAGACTACAGCTTTTAGGGGACAGTTGTCCTCCTTCCCCCTCTCTCCTCCTGCTTCCAAATACCATTATTTGCCATCATGCAAGAGACCACAGCCAACCCTATCCCATTAAGGTGCACAGACGGTGCCTTCACTCACACTTGGGTTAAATTTAGAATTCAAGTGCACTTATGTGGGGAAAAGAACACAAGGCAAATGTTTTAAATCAGGTGGTTTATTAGTATTTTCTTCTTGAAGAGGAATTTGACTTACTTCAATGGTCACTGATTTCCCTACAGAAAAACCTTCCAAAGAGATAGGAAAATAAGCCGAAAGGGTCTGACCGTGTCTGTTCCGACAACAAGCCTTGGACGCTGAGCACTTTCTGAAAAACCCCAGGGCTGAGCCACACCGCTGGGCACAACCTTAAAATTTTCCCAGCAGGGTGGGTGGGGAAGGGAGGGAGGCTGGGCCTTGAGCAGGAATCGCAGGAAAGAGACTTGGGGAGCAACCAGTTATCAAGAGGCAAATGGCTTAAAGTTGAAACGAGTGAGAATTTATTCACAACATATGCAGGCCTATGAACGTGATTATGCAAAGGGCTGGGGAGAGGATGCTTGAAACAGCAGAAACTTGGAAGGCGTGGTTCCCACGAGCTGGGCTAGTCAGGGCCCAGCTCAGCGCGACTCCATCTTGTCCCTTTGGCTCCCGTCACTCCTCCTCACCACACCAGCAAGCTTTGGAAAGGGGAAGGTGTACACCCTTTTCCTCAAAACCCAGTGTCATGGGAGGTCACAGCATCAGGCGACCTCAGCCCTGGTCAGGGACACCTCCTTGGTGCTTCTTTCTAGAGAGAAGATTTGTATTAGCGGAGCTTCATATTCACACACCGACTTCCAGAGTTTTCCAGTCGGTAAAGCGCTGGATTCTGTTTTTTTTCTGCCCTAATCCTATATATTTGTTACTGAAGAAAGACTAAAAGAAAGACCTTGTCGTTCTCTCCCATACGCACTGGCAACCACGACTGAGCTGGCCTTCAGGCCCCAATGTGGATGGACGAGAATGCAGGTGGCCTGGGGCTTGGTGACAGGCTGTGTCTGCTGGTGACCAGCCATCTCAGGAACCAGGGGCTGACTTCCCTTCAGCTTCCACTAACCAGTCACTAGGACCCACCCCACCCCAAGCTTACACAGCTCCAACCCCAGCCGGCCTTGCCTCATGCGATGATTGCTCAGATGGGTCATCAGAACGTTCTAGAATTTTCTCCTAGTGTCCTCTTCTTCCTGCCCAGGACGAGCTCCCCGCTGTAGCCCTGAGGGCGGATCTTCAGCTCCACATAAGGAATGGAGAATTCGTGTCCTTTCCACGGCTCCCAGTTCACCCCCTACATCAAAAATCCAACATCAAGAAGAGGAATGGGGGGGGGGGGGGGGGTCCCTTGCCTGGGAAACCACATCCTCACTGCTCAGGGCCAGAGAGAGCCCTCAGGGAAGTGAGGGTTGATCTAGGAACCTGCGCCCTCTGCTGGGCAGCTGGGGTTAGAGAGGCTGGGAGCCCCCTTGTGGGGTGGGGTGTGTGTGGGGGGGCGGGGGAGGGGTGAGCCCAGGAGGCACAGGGGCTCAGATAACAGGATCAGCCTGGCCAGCAATGATCACATTGTCTTTGCCTCACTCTTCTCCTTTCCAAAAAATTAAAGGCAAAAATAAACATATTAATTGGCCTATTGTGTGGAATCATTTTCAATTTAGGCTGTTTAGATATTAGCTCTGGGGTAACGAACAGCCTGCTGAAAGCTAAATTTCATTTTATGTCTTCTGACTGGAGAGCACAATATTTAATTCACTTAATAACCTCACAACCTGGCCAATAAAGAGCCCAAGTGACCAATTCTGTGTGTTTTAATTTGTGAGGTAAATAATAAACAGGAAATAAACGCCCTGCCGACTGTGAGCAGCACATTAACCAGATGAATGTCCTTTATTAGCAGACATGGGTTTGGTTTGGGGCCCGCTGGCTGCTCATTGCAAACAGCTGGTCTCTGATCACAGGCGTCCCTGGGTCGGGCCCCAGCCTGCCACCTTGGTGCTGGGGCCCACCCGCCTCGGCTCTCCGGGGGCACCTTTCTTCTTCCCTGTGAAAAATCACCCCGGGATCAGCCCCGCTGCTGCCGGGTCAGGGCCAAAGCAATCATGTCACCGGGCTTCAGGTGTGCTAGTCGTTACAGTGCCATTGGTGAGGGGCGTTCGGGGGCGGGGCTTCCTGGAGGCCAGGATCCGACTGGGATGGAGGTAGAAAGCCAGGATGCACTCCGAGAGAGTGCACGGAGGGCATGGATTAATGCTGAGAAGGAACAAAGGTGCAATGATCAAGAAGCTGTGAGGAAGCAGGCAGGAGACGCCCATAGCCGGTGAGGAGTCAGGGCGATGTTCACGGGTCACGGAAGCTCGAGACACTGCGGATGGGAAAGTTTCAGAGCCAAGAGGGGACAGTGGCCGCAAGGATGTGCCTCTGCGCACTGAAATGGGGAGGTGCTCAGCACAGAGCTCTGGGCGGACTGGCTAGTTCTGGACGAAATGGGCCCAGAGATGGGTCTGAGCTCGGGCAGAAAGGACTTTGTTTCCCTGGTGATCCAAAGACTTGAGAAAAATAGCTCTGGTTTACCTGAGAGAACTAGTTGAAGCCCTACCCCCCAATGTGATGGTGTTGGAGGTAAGCAGGGTTAGATGAGGCCATGAGGGTGGGTTCCCCCAGATGGAACTGGTGCCCTTGTAAGAAGAGGACGAGAAGCAGAGCTCTCTGCACAGTGAAAAGGACAGGGCTCTACCAGGACCCGAGCCTGCCTGCACCTTGATCTTGGACTCCCAGCCTCCAGAAGAGAAACAAATGTCTGTTCGAGCCCCGCAGTCCATAGTGTTTGGTGATAGCAGCCCAAGCTGAGTAAGACCATGTCCATGTAGGAACTCATCTAGTGAGATGGAGCAGGACCCACATTGTGTGTGAATATTCTGAATGGGCAGCCTGGGCTCTCACCGACCTGCAGAAAGTGTGGGGCACTGGGGAGGGGTGAGCAGGTGGGCAGGCGGGCCCTGACCTCAAGGCCATGGGGAGGGGTGAGCAGGTGGTCAGGGAGGGCCCTGACACCAAGGCCATGGAGCCTGGAAACAAACTCCTGCCCTGACTGGGAGCCTCAGAAGGAGAAGGCAGACAAACCTGCCTGGAGGGTGTCACTTGGGGAACTGAATGTGGGCAGAGCCAGTCACCTACCTCACTGTGCTTGGTCTCCCCGTATCTGCCATTGGGGTTGGCCAGGTGGCAGTTCTTGTACCACCAGCCGCCATGGTGCGTCAGGGCACAGTTGCTGAGGGCGATGTCGTTGTCTCTGTCAAAAGTTGTAAACTTCCACCCGTTGTGGTAAGAAAGAGCATCCCCTGCAGGGAGAAGATGTGAGAGGTGAGAGGCCACGATCACCACCTAGGGGTGGAGGACTTAGCAGGAACAAATCTAGCATGAAAACACCAAGGACCCGGTCCATTATGTCACAGGTTCTCTTTCCGGGTCTGCCACCCAAACTCCAGGCCTCGTCCTCCAACAGCCTTCACAGCACGCTCTTTAGAAGCGTCACAGTCCTGTGAAATAGCCACACCCCCAAACAAACTCATGACTCTTCCCATAGCACCTGACTACCCCTCCCATCCTCCCGGTCTCTGCTCAGCCATCCGCCCAGCCCGGAAGCCCCTGAGCCACGTCCGACAATCCCCTGTACCCTCATCACGCCCTTCCTCCTGTAGGTCACTCGGGCACCCTCCCCACCAGGGCCACCGGGGCCTGCTCTCCTCTCTGGGCCTGATCCACACCGCAGCCTTCCTAGCCCTCCTGAGGCTTAAACACCCATCCTCTCAGGCCTCACGTCCTATTTCCTGCCACACGATGTGAATTTCTGCCCCTGGCTTGGCAGACCTGTAACTTGGCTGTTCCCGATGCACAATCTCAGCCCACTGTCCCCACAGGCAGCTTCCGTCTGTGGAGCGCACGGGTCCAGCCTCGTTCGTGCCTCTCTCACCGCTTTCTCCCTGCTCTCCATGGTTAAACCCTAACCAATCTTCGAAGCCCAGCTCAGCGGTCCTGAGGAGTCTCCTCCTCACCCTCCCTCACACCTCCTGCCACACATGAACTTCTGGAGCTCTCTGAGCACAGCACATAGGTTCATGCTCCATGTCATCGTGTCTGGAAACCTGTAATTACTTTATTCGCCTTTCTCCTATTTCCCCATCACATGTGTGGTCCTTTTATAAGTTTCCTTTTTAATTCAGCTCACAAAAGGCAGTGAGGGCCCATATTGATCCCAAGCTTAAGTAAGTGCTGTTTTTATGATAATAAACATATTATATCTGGTCTCTGAGTTTACCGATCACCTTCACAAACAAGCCTTTGGGGTGGGCTGGGCACCTCCTGGTCCCACGAGGAAGCAAACTCACAGACGTTAGAGTCCACGGGCTCATCCAGCGTTCTCCTATTTCCCCATCACATGTGTGGTCCTTTTATAAGTTTCCTTTTTAATTCAGCTCACAAAAGGCAGTGAGGGCCCATATCGATCCCAAGCTTAAGTAAGTGCTGTTTTTATGATAACATATTATATCTGGTCTCTGAGTTTACCGATAACCTTCACAAACAAGCCTTTGGGGTGGGCTGGGCGCCTCCTGGTCCCACGAGGAAGCAAACTCACAGACTTTAGAGTCCACGGGCTCATCCAGCAGCCACCCCTCCAGCTCGTCTCCTCCATGTCACCGTGTCACCAGACCCCCCCCCTCCACCCACCGCATGGAAGCTCTCTGGGTCTCAGGAACTGTTCTTTACAACATAAAACCTCCCTAGGATTATGCAGAAAGGTCCTGCTGGCAATAGCTTCACTGAAGCTCACCTACCGTGCTCCATGCTAAGCACTGGGAAATAAGAGCAAAGGCAAAATGCATGTGACTTTTTTAAACATTAAGTCCTAAAACCTGAAATTTTGCACCAGCGGTTGGCCACTTCAGATCACAGTGTGTGTTCAGCCTTCTGCCATTAGGGGTCGCTGAGCAGACCATGTTGAGAAGGCCTGCGGTCTTAAGAGTACACACCGATTTCCTTGCCTCAGCTCAGTCCTTTCTCAGTCCCGGACTCCCCTGGGCCTGGGGAGCCCCTTCCTCCCTCCCAGCTAAGTTCTTCCCTCTCAGACCCGACTCCAGCCCACCAGCCTGCAGAAGCCCCTGCTCGCCTCAGCCCCCACGTACCCACCTTCTCCACGCTCCTGGAGCTCTCATCTCCTGACCACTTGTTAGACTCTTTGCCAAAGTTACCTTCTATTCTCACTGACCTATTTCCATGTGAGTCTCAGGGGAGAGGCCATGTCTTATGCAGTCAGTCGATCTGGCTGGTTACACGTTCCTACCTAGTTACACCAAAGTCAAAACATGCAGAAGCAAAAGCAGACCTACTTGTTAGGATTTTAAAAACTAGGAATATAGGCTTAACTATAACATTAAAACAATAACCACGCCTCTCTCTTAAATAAAATAGTCCAATAGCACCATCCCAGGATTAATTTTGTTATTTTCCTTCACAAATAAACACCAGAGCGCAGCCCAAGGAGGGTGAGCCCCATCTCCACTGAACGGCTGTCCCTGTGTTGTCACCGCTGCATGTCACTGCGACCTACACGCCTAGTGCTGGCTCCGCACTTTGACCTTTCTGCCTTTAAGTAATAACACACTCAGGCAGCCCCTCTGAAGCCGAGTGGGAGGTGGGCAGCACCAGGGGGTGGCGGCTCAGAGTGTGATTCCTCAGTGAGGGGACAGCATCCTGAACTGGGGGTATAAGAGGAGGGTTTTTACTGGTTGGGGGTGCACTGGGGGGCGTGTCCACGTATAATGTTCTGATCTTACAATGATCAAGGATTGCTTTAAGAACCTTGTGTACCCTGACCCCCTGCTGGGAGCAGGGCCTCATGTGTCCATGAGAACCGTGCACCTTCGCAGGACAAACTTCCACCCCCTGATCCATGGCACACGGCAGCCCAAGGCTTGGACACAGGGCAAGCGGCCTCGTGGTCTGTCAGGAACACTGCACGCACCTGCCGTGCCTCTGTACTTCCCCACCGTGAGCCTGTACCGCTCCTTGCTGGAGGCCACCTGGAAGAAGTCGTACACGGCATAGGCGGACTCGTTGGCGGTCTGCAAGTCCACTCTCACCTCATACCGGGTTGGGGTGCCAGTGGTGAGGTTGTGCAGCTTGTCGAGTCCTAGAAACAAGGAATTCCAATCACCGAACGTCACCTTAGCCTTCACCTCCTCTGCTAATGGGGCCTCCCCCTGCTTTCTCTTTCAGGGGCTCATTTCCTTCTGCTGTTAGTTCTTTGGTGCAGTCGTGCTATTGAGTGTGGAGGCTGTGTCCTCCAGGGGGGCAGGGTGCAGGCACTCCCGGGGTGAGCCTGCCCCACCGGCTCCATCCCTGAGGCACCAGCAGTTTATATTCATTGTCCTCTTATCTCACAGCTGGCGGAGACCAACCACTCACTGACCGTCTCCTACCCTCCCAGGCACCGAGCATCCAGACTGTGACTTTTTAATTTTTCATCTCCCAGTGGACGCTTCGGGCTCCCTCACTCTCCATGAGCATCTGCTCGAGCACAGAGCAGGAGGAAGAGAGAGCGAGCAGGGCCCCTAGTGGCTGGCAGAACACGCAGCACTTCTGGGGCCAGGGTGGCCTCCTCACAGTAGCCAGAATCCTCATCGATGGCTATTTTCTAATCCTTTGATTCTCAAGGGGAATCTCCCCTGCACCACCCAGCCTTCCTGATTCTCAGAGTCCGTACCGAACCAGAACTCCTTGGTGGGGTCCCCGAAGCCCTCCACATAGGTCCGCCAGCGCTTGAAGAAGTCCAGCTGCCCGGTGTTCCGCCGCTGGAAGACCTGGAAAGGGAGATGGCGTTCCCTCTGATGCACTCAGCAGCCGTGACTGAGAGAGAGGGACAGGAGCTGGGGTTGGGGACCTGGAAAGGGAGCTGGCCCTGAGGACAGACAGAGGCAACGTGGCAGATGTGGTGATAGAGAGGGAGGAAGCCAGAGCGGTTCTGTGGTTCTGGGAAGTCTGCATGGAGAGAAGACTGGCTTTGTGCGGGCACCACGGGCCCACAGGGACATGGTAGGTGTGAGCCCTTCTGAGGTCTCCTTCTGGATGAAGAGGCCATAGGCACAGCTGGGTGTGAGCGCAGAGTCCCACAGAGAGACCTAGGCTAGATGGGAAGGTGAGCGTGTCTGAGATGGTGCGGGCCCACCACGCCCACCGCACTCCCTCTCCCCAGGCACACGGAGACTTCCTGCTGGCCTCTCCCGCACTCCCTCACACGTAGCTGGAGCCAAAGGACCTTCAGTGGGAGCACAGGAGGGGGGTGGGGTGCTCCATGCTTCCCCTTTCATTGCCACGGGGCCTCTGCCTCGGGGAAGGCCACATGGGGCAGGGCAGAGCCACACGTTGGAATCGGCCTGAATCCCTGCGTGGGCAGGACGGGCAAACAATGACACCAGTTAGCTCTGCTGTTCTCTTGCCCCTTCACTCCAGTCCTTCTTCAGAGATGCCCCATTCCCTCATCCCCTCATTGCTCCTTCATTGATTCACTGACATAGCAATCGTTTACTGAGTATCTGCTAAGTGCTGGCTCCAGGGCAAGTATGTAAGATGCGATGTTACAGATGTGAGTTCACACAGCTAAGTGTTTGGGGACTGATGCCAGGATAAAACACTGATCCCCTCACCCTTCCATTGGAAAGTTTGAGGAACCAGCTCTACTGAGTCTATTCTCCAAAAAGCATTTCTTAACACTCTGAGGCTCATGGTCAGTTTCCTAGCACGGAGACTGTTCCAGTCCCTTCCCCGGGACTATCCCTGCGTCACAGGCAGTGGAACCCTAAGGTGGATGTGGCACCGATGTTAGTTCCACAAACGTCACATCAAAATACACGCCCAGTAACAAGGTCAGGCTCAAATCCCGCCCGCAGGACAGATGCATTACAAAGGCATTTGGTCCCTTCTGCCAATCAATGAACACAATGCCCAAGTGTGACGGGAGCTTTCCTGCTAATCTCTTTTCCTTGTTAGGAAATTCTCCAGCTTGGCCAGGGAAACTCTGGGCAATGGTTCCGATGCTCTCCGCATCACTATTTAGATGAGACCCAGTGCTCTGCTTGCCAGCTGTGTCCTTGAGCAAGTTAGTTAACCTTGACAAGCCTCACTTCTCTAAACCATTAGACCAAGGTGGCCCATTTGTCATGCTCTTAAATGAGGTTTCAGCAAGGTCAAGAATCATAATAAATTATACAGTATTGCCCGGCTGGCATGGCTCAGTGGTTGAGCATCGATCTATGAACGAGAAGGTCACAGTTTGATTCTGGTCAGGGTACATGCCTGGGTTGAGGGTTTGATCCCCCGTGTGGAGTGATGAATGATTCTCTCTCATCATTGATGTTTCTATCTCTCTCTCTCCCTTCCTCTCTGAAATCAATAAAAATATATTGAGGCCAGAGCCTGGCATATAAGGATATAAGTTATTATATCTCAGTAAGTGTTGGTTTGCATTTTATTACATCAGATTCCCAATGAACTAACCCTCAGGGATCATGTGGATGTCTTGATCAGGAAGCCTTAACGGACTCACTGAGAATCACGTTCCCACTCTAGGAGGTGAACTAGTTTAATGAACTATTCTGGGAAAACAAGGGCCCCTTAGCAAAAACGTCTCAGGGGGGAATCTTTCCTGTCTGGTTGTACACTCCAGCTGTCCGGGTACACTAGGACTTACTTGATGTCCTGAACAACTAAACAGGAGGAAAAAAATAAAAATCTCACTTAAATGAATGCCTGTGGAAAGAGCCTCACATGTGGCCCTTAAAACTTGCAAGATGGAAAACAAAGATGGAAATATCTGAGCCACGTAAGTGTTCCCTGGGTTCGCCGCAGGCTTGCGCTCAGCCTCCATCACCCGGGGGCAAGGCCCTCAGCCCGGGCATCAGATTGGGCTCAGCTGCCGGGGCTGGTGAAGAACCTCCACAGAAGGACTTGAGAGCTCAACTGGAGAGAGCAGTGTACTAAGGTCACCTTTCAGGGACAAATAGACTCTTGAGCCCAAAACTATGGAAACCACCAGTGAGAGGTTTGATGGAGAAGTTTGCAGGTCCCTATGTGTCATCCAGGGTGTGCTGGCTTTGAGGAGGACTCTACAGACTCTCAGGCCACGTGTCACCTTAGGAGTCAGCCAGAACACACAACCTGGGCAGGTGGGCCTGGGGTTATCGAGAACGCAGAGCCATTTTCTCGGGGTCCTCTGCATGAGCAGGATGTAGGAGGCAAGCTCCTGGATCTGTTTGGTTCTCTTGTGGTTCTTGATTCGGTACAACAGTGCTGGACACATAGTAGGCACTCAAATATCTGTGGAAAATTCATGGGTATTCCCAGGCAGACACACTGGCAGATCTCTCTCTGAAGGCTGCCCAAGACAAATGCCTCCTTCCCTGGCTTTCAAAAAAGGCCCACTAGGCAGTACAAACATCCTGCCAAAGCTGATTATGGGCTCCAGGGCAGGATGCTCAGAGCTACAGTGGTGCTGAGGAAAAGCAGCAGGTGCAGCCTGTGGGTCTGGTCAGGTGGAAGACCTCCTATGATACCTTCTGTTACCGTATTTGTAAAGATCCATCAGGAATTTGCCCTTCCAATCCAATTACTGCCTTTCAGCCATCGGAGGCAGCTGTGCGGATAATAAGTTTTCTCCGTTGCTGCTTATCAGATGGTATTATTTTATCCATGGCTGCTCAAGTGTCTTTGGTTTCCCAGGCCCCTGAGCGGGCGCATGAATGAATGCGGTTTGAGTGGGATGGGCTCAGCTTTCTGCTTCCCCGAGTGGCGGGTGCACAGCGGGCAAGTGCGTGCTGGTCTGGGGCAGCGAGAGCCTCTCTCTGCTCAGGCGCAGGGAGCAGGGGCTGGGGAGACAGAGGATCAGACCGCAACCCTCCAAGGCAGCGCCTCAGATCCCTGGACCAGGCTGCCGCCATCAGAGATGGGCCATGTGCTTTCAGCAGACCACGGCCCAAGAGAATAAAGCCTCACTCAGACGGGGCACGATCGAAACGTTGCCACGAGTTCTTCTCTCAGGCCTTATCCTCTCAGATCAAAGTCCCGACGGCCTTGCTTCTGTACTGAGGAGCCAGGATGAGGAACCAGGACAACAGGCTCCAGGTCAGAGGGCAGAGCCCCCAAAGAGGTCATGTGTTTCAGGTGACCTGACATGACCCCAGGAAGACCAATGATCGAGGAGGCTGGAGTCCTGAAATCCGGTTCCACTTTGTCACTAACTCGTGTGACTTAGCCTGGGCACATCCCCTTGTGGGCCTCACTTTACTTATCTGTAAAATCGGAATAATCATCTCAGTTACTCTAAAGGTTTTGTGTAAGGGTCATACTTGTGTGAGGCTCATACTTGTGTGAGGGTCATGGTTTTGTTTTTTATAAATATATTTGTATTAATTTCAGAGAGGAAGGGAGAGTGAGAGGGAGATAGAAACATCAACGATGAGAGAGAATCATTGATCGGCTGCCTCCTGCACGCCCCCTACCGGGATCAAGCCCGCAACCTACACATGTGCCCCTGACCTGAATCGAACCTGGGACCCTTCAGTCCGCAGGCTGACGCTCTAACCACTGAGCAAAACCAGCTAGGGCATGGGCCATGTTTTGTATGAGGGTTATACTTAGGTGAGGCTCACAGTTGTGTGAAGGTCATACTTTGTGAGGGTCATGTTTTGCGTGACTCACGATCCAGCCGCCGCCGTCCGTGTCCATGTCGCAGTACACTTGCAGGGGCTGGCTGGCGTCCCCATGCAGGTAGATGGTGTACAGGCCGCTGGCGACGTTGCTGTTCTGCTGGACTTGACTGCAGTCCGAAGGGTGTGGGAAACGGGCACCAACTAGGAGCCGAGCAGAGGGCAGCATCATTAGAAGGGCAGCGGGCCAGTCCCTATTTTAAGTTAATTCATTTTGCTTGGGAATGATTCATAACCCACTACTTTGCTCCTTCCAACTCTTCACTCACATTTCACTTTTCACTCACTCTGCTCTCATCAAACCCTCCAGATGTACTAGAAACAAGGTCAACTTCACATCTCTTCCTCCCCAACCCAACTGCACCCAAAGTTTCGCTCCTCTCCTTAATCTCTCCACCAGGGGAGGGGCTTCTCCTGAACCTGTACCCTACCCATTCCCATGCTAGAGAACCCACAGCTCTGTGGCCACCGCTGCTGCAGACATCCCTCCCTCGGACACCCCTCCCGCGGACCCCTCTCCTGAGACTCTCAGGCTCAGCCTCTACGATGTCTTGTTCAGAGAGCAGGAGCCCACAGACCTGTGGAAAGGGCGATGGACACACTCCTGCTCCGGCGATCACCCTTGAATGCCACCAAGGAGACAGGGTAGGTGACGCCCTGCTCAAGGCCTTGCAGCTCAAACCTCTGGTCCCCGCGTCCGAGCTGCACCTCCTACCACACAAAGGAGACAGGAAGCGACATTCAGTGTATCGCCCCCAGCAGCCTGGGTGCCATCACATTCCCTGGGGCCGATGCCAGCAGCTCTCAGGCAGCAGTGCTTGTCTCTGAGGGCTCAGTGGCATCCCAGGACCCCAGTGCCTCCCAGCCACTTCTCCTGAATGGCCTCTTGCTGGCGCAGGAACTGGAAGCCAGCATGAGGCAGCAGCAATTGGGGGGGAGGGGGACCCGCCAGTCTCCTGGGACCTCTGCCCTCTGGTCCACACTGGGGCATTCCATGCCAGGCTGAGAAGTGAGGAGGGGAGGTGAAACCATCCCCATGTCTGCAAGGCAGGGAGATGGCTGGTTTCTCAATAGGCCTCCTCCTGAACCGGTGTTTCTGCCTCTAGCAGGGCTGTCCTAAGGAGTCACTGAAGCAATAATTACATCAATGTGCCTTTCCTTTTCCCCTCCTGCCCTTTCTTCCTCATCAAGGAGAGAGGACAACAATTTTCCATTGGGACAAATTTTGAAAATGTACTGGCCTTCAGATTCCATATGGGAAGTAGCATCTTTGAAATAAGGGTTAATAATTCATTCAATAAATCTTGATTGAGCAGCTACATATTTGGTAGGCACTCAACAAAACAGACAAAAAGTCCCTTCCTCATGGAGCTAACACTTATGGGGAAGATAAACAAAAAACATGGGGCCGATGTAGGTCAGCAAACATGCAATGGTCAGCTGGGAGCAGGCACAAGGTAATCCTACAAAATGAGACCCGATGTTCACAGGGACTGTGTCTCACATTGTCCCTTGCACATAGCAGGTGGTCAGTAAGGACCAACTCATTTATCAGCAGGTTGTCATGGGACCAGCAATCAAGCTGACCCCAGTTAGTTGCTTCATATGGGGCTGGCATGGGCACCATGAGAAGAGGCAGGAGCATGCAGTACCTTAGTGGTGCCATCTGGGAACTGGTAGGTCAGAATGTAGCCATTGATCTGAGCCGAGGGGCGTGTCCAGGTCAGTACCCCCCCAGACTGGGTAACAGCAGACGGACGAAAGTTTCTGGGAGGGTCGATGTCTGTGTATCAAAAGTCAGGCAATTATTATCACTAAGGTAATGGAAGTAATTTTTTAAAAAAATATATTTTATTGATTTTTTACAGAGAGGAAGGGAGAGGGATAGAGACTTAGAAACATCAATGAGAGAGAAACATCAATCAGCTGCCTCCTGCACACCCCCTACTGGGGATGTGCCCGCAACCAAGGTACATGCCCTTGACCGGAATCGAACCTGGGACCCTTCAGTCCGCAGGCCGACGCTCTATCCACTGAGCCAAACCAGTCAGGGCTGGAAGTAATTTTTGAAGTATTACATTTTCTGCCCACATACCCTCCCATGTCTTTTCCTTCACGCAGGCTCTCTTCTTCCTTGCCACCAGCCCGTTATGACCTTTGTTTCCAAAAGCATAGGAAGGACAAGGATTAAGGAACTGGTGCTGGGGTGAGTTACCTCCCAGATGGAGTGACCCTGGGGCCCATTTCCCAGCAGACCCGCAGAGGGTGGTGGGTAGGAGCAATCTAGACCAGAGGCTAGATCAGCCGTGGGCAAACTACGGCCCGCGGGCCGGATCCGGCCCGTTTGAAATGAATAAAACTAAAAAAAAAAAAGACCGTACCCTTTTATGTAATGATGTTTACTTTGAATTTATATTAGTTCACACAAACACTCCATCCATGCTTTTGTTCCGGCCCTCCGGTCCAGTTTAAGAACCCATTGTGGCCCTCGAGTCAAAAAGTTTGCCCACCCCTGGGCTAGATTCAGAGCTGGCAGAGCCCCACCGTGGCGTGGAAACGATAGGCGAGTGCAGATCCGAAAGGGCCCTGCACACGGAAACTGGGGCATCTCAGCAAACAGCTGCCGGGAAGGATGACGGAGTGCAGGGTGTCACCCAGGATGGGCTCCCCGGCTGGATATCTGGAAACCACACGGCTTTACATCAGCCCTGGGGAAGGAGCATAACCCTAAATTCACTAAGATTCATGTCCAACAAGCAGTGTAGGGCTTATGATGGACATTAAGTTGACAGAGAAATATAAAGTCCTATTTCTTACACATCTAAGTGTGTGGCCTTAGATGCCTACTCTGCACAAAAAGAAGCAGGGATGGAAGGGGTGTCTGTATAAAGGAGAGAGAGAGGGGGCGGGGGGGAGAAAGGAAGGAGAAGGGAAGCAAGAGAAAAAGCAGAGCTCTCCCTCTAGTTCCCAGTCACTCTCCCACACAAATGCCAATGGGAACACAGGGATGTGTGCATGGTGGACCAGAAAAACTAAAGCAAAGTAATTGGTCAGAAGACTATGTTTTCCCAACCAAATAAGATATGAATGGAAATTTCCATTTTGAAAAGTCATTATAGAAGGTGATTTTAATTTTGAAGTTCCCAAAAAAGATGTCTCCAGGCTATTTTATACCCAGTAGCATTTCGGCTGAGAACTGAATTGCAGTATTTTAATAGAAATCAGGCAGCTGTTGTTTTAGGATGTTTTGACAAATGTAGAATTTCTGCAATGTCAGCTTGGTTTGACTTTCTAAAGCGTAACATCTGGTATGGATTTTAGTGTCCTCATCCCACGGAAAGACTGAATTTCCCGCTTTGAAGTCGGGGGGGATGGAATGATTTATTTATTTATTTTTAATATATACATTTTTATTTCAGAGAGGAAGGGAGAGGGAGAGATAGAAACATCAATGATGACAGAGAGTCATAACTTGGTGGCCTCCTGCAAGCCCCACACTGGGGATTGAGCCCACAACCCGGGCATGTGCCCTGACCAGGAATCAAACCATGGCCTTCTAGTTCTTAGGTCAAGGCTCAACCACTGAGCCATGCTGGCCAGGAAAAACCTAGCGATTTAAATATCTTAGACTGGCTCTGCCACCTCTGTGACTGCCCACCATCCGGGTTATGGACTTGAGGTGTCCGTCTTAGTCACATGTCCATGAAGCAGAAACATGGTAATATTGCTGCCTTTAAAAATGGGCAAAGAGGGAAGCAAAGAGAAGGTAAAGGAAGAGAGGAAGGAAGGAACAAGGGAGTGAGGGAGACAGAGAGGGTGGGAGGAAAGAGGAAAGTATTGGTTGCCTCTTGGAGCACTTTTTATTTTTATTTTTAATCCTCACCTGAGGATATGTTTTTATTTATTTTAGAGAGGAAGGGAGAGGGGGAGAGAGAGAAACATGGATGTGAGAGAGAAACATCGATCAGTTGTCTCTTATATGTGCCCTGACTCAGGATCAAACGACTGGGGATCAAACCTGCAACCAGGGTATGTGCTCTAGCCAGGAATCGAATCCACGACCTTTTGGTGTACTAGTGTACGGGACAACACTCCAACCAGCTGAGCCACACTAGCCAGGGCTGGAGAGCAGCACTCTTATTAGGGAGCCTGGGATGTGGACAACTGTTTTTCTTTCTATAGAACCTCGGTTAGTTTGAAAATTTTTATATAAGTATGTGTCACTTTTTTGGTTAAAAACTCCTATTAATTGTAACAATAATAATTATAAAGAAATTCAAATCACTTCTAACTCCAGTGGCCAAGGGTATGTATGAGGCCGCAGAGGGGACGGCCTTGCCCAGACTAAGGAGGCCCGTGGACTTCGGGGTGGGCACAGCGCTCTTCTCGGGACCCCCAAGGCCTGATCGCCATGAGGCTCAGTGAGACCAGAGGCCCATCGCACATAAAATACAGGCATCGGACCCCCTGATCACCAACTGGAGGGGACAGTGAGGGAAGACGCTCCACCGCGGCCCCATCTAGAAGAGAGAAACAGCAGAGGCGCCTGGCCTCCCCATGCTCTGAGCTGGAGCTGAGGCCCAGCCAGGGCTGTATGGGGGCATGAGAGCTGGCAGGGCAGGGCGGTCAAGGAGGTGGACTTTGCACAGCCATCTTGGACAGTCACACAGTCTTACTTTGACACTCCTTCCTCTATGGTCTTTCATATTCATCTGAACCATTATGTCAACATATGGCCTCAAAAAGGTAAAAAGGGAACCCTCTGAAGAATGTCCTCAGTGACACAGTCTCCCCTGCTCCCCTCCCCACATCTGATACGTATGAAGGGTTCCCTGTCTGGGTCCCTGGCAGTACCTGTCAGGGCCTTGGTGTCGGCCTTCTGGCTCTCCCGGTCCCCCTTCTGGGCCCACACGTGGACCGTGTACTCCACGCCCGGCCTCAGGCCCGCCAGGACGGTGCTGCTCTGCTCCTTCCCCACCGGGACCTCCCTGGTGTCTCCATCAGCGGAGGTGTAGCGCACCGTGTACCTGTCGATGACGGCCTGCACCGGCTCCCAGGAGATGGTGGCCGTGGTCTCCATCACCCGGTCGGTCACCAGGTTTTGGGGGCTGTCAATTTCTTTTTAAAAAGAAAAGGCTGACTTTTAGAGCCAGGGGAGAACATCCCAGCACCCCAGCACCCCAAACTCTCCATTCAACTTCTTTCACACAAAACAATTCCATTGACAGAAGTGAAAAGGCCCTGACTTCCATTTTCCAGAGAAACAAACCCCTGGATATTAAAACTGGGAGGAATTAGATCTTAATCGAGTTTACCAATATGGAAATTTTCTTCTGGTTCCCACAGGAATAACAATGGAAGTCACCTGAGCAGCAAGAGGAGCTGCCCCAAATTCTATTGAAACAACTTCCTTCACTATCCTCATGGTATGTAGTTAACTTGTTTCTCAGAATTTGAGAGCTGAGAAGTCATATCTTCCAACTTTCTTGTCTAATAAGAGGGGAGGAGAATGGCAGCCCAGAGAAATGAAACACTTGTCCAAGGGCTTACTGTTTTCTTGTGTTAAAACTGAGACAACAATTCTTTTCTTGTGTAAAAGCCCTGTTCACTCTGAACTGGGAGCCCACCACCTTCTCAAGGCCTTTGCTCCTATTCACGTACCCTCTCTCCTGCACCATCAGTCTCTTCTCTGCCGCCATCGCTTCTAGACAAGCAAGCTCTAGGACTCCCATCCCTCTGCACCCCTTAACCTACACACTTCTCAGGAGGACTACATGCCTTCACGTCTCACCTCCCATCACTCCTCAACGAAGCCCCGCACTTTTCCACATCACACCACTAAAACTGTACGTCAAGGTCACCAACAACGTCCACGTGGCCAAGTCCAGTGAACAGCATCCTCACCTGACTACTTCTGAGCAGTGTCTGGCAGAGCTGATCCGCACTCCCCTTCGTGAAACACTCCCAGGTCTGGGCTTCCATGACTGTACCCTCCCCTGGTTTCCTAACACCCTGACTCATCCTCGGAGTCTCCTCCATCAGCACCTGAAACTGTTGGGCACCAAAGTCTCCTCTACACGCCTCCCTAGGTCAGTGGTCGGCAAACTCATTAGTCAACAGAGCCAAATATCAACAGTACAAAGATTGAAATTTCTTTCGAGAGCCAAATTTTTTAAACTTAAACTATATAGGTAGGTACATTGTTATTAACTTAATTAGGGTACTCCTAAGCTGGCCTTTGCTAAAAACGTCCTCAATCTGATTGAGGTAC